GAAAACAATAAATAAGAGTTTCCCAACAAGTGTACCTTGGCACACTGGTGTCCTGTGAATGGCTTGCATGTGTACTGTAATCTTTATCTCCTAAGGCCTTGGGTCAACCAGGCAGATCCTGGGAAGCCAAGTTGCCTCTGCCCTGAGCAATCTTGTCTATTTACCCCAGGGTGCCATGGCACTTCTATAGGCATTTGTTAATATAGAGTTTTATATCCTAAATAAAATAATGACATACCAAAATGCCACTACCAAATCAGTTTTATTCCAGGAATCTAAGAATAGCTCAACATTAGGTAATTAACTACACTGATGGATTAAAGAGAATAACCATATCATCACCTTGGTATCAGCTTGTCAGATGCCAGAAAAGCCATCTTGATAACATTCTATATCCATCCCTGATAAAATTATACGTCAATCAAGAACAGAAGGGCATTTCCACAACTTGAAAAGGGGTATTTATCAGAAACAATGGCAATTATAATATTTAAACAAAGAGGCATTTCTATTAGAGCCAAAAACAGAAGGTTGCCTGCTATTTATTAATCAACATCAATCTGCATTGTCCTGGAAGTTATAAAGTATTTACCAATGTGCTAAAAGAAAAAAAATACATACAAACATTAGCAAGAAAAAGATAAACGTTTTATTATTTACAAATGGCATGATTGTGTACCTAAGAAATCAAGATAATCAAATGAAAATAAAAACTACTGTTAGAGCTAAGAATAGAGTTCAATATGACACCTGGATATAAGATAAATATTAAATAGCTTTTCTATGCACCAATGATAAGGAATTTTTAAAATGCAATATCATTCATGTAAGAGGAATTAAAACTATAAACTAACAAATAAGTCCAACAATTGTTTTAATATCTAAATGGAGACCACAGTAAATTAAATAAATTGAGACAGATACCTTGTTACTAGATGCAAAACTCACTATCATAAAGGTGGCAGTTCTTGACATGTTACTCAAAAGGTCTGAAGCATTTCCAAGGGATTAATTTTTTTATGGACATTGATGAGTTGATTTTAAAATTAATCTAGAAAAATAGGATGCACAAGAATAGTGAAAAATTCTGAAAGAAAGAATAATGTAGGGGGAGCAGTCCCATCATACGTCAAAACATAATGCTACAGTAATTAAAGCAGTGAGGTACTAGCTCAGTACTAGAGAAATATTATCAGTTGAACAGAAAAGAAACATAAAAATATACCCAAAGAGTTCATGATAAAAAGAGAATTCCAAATCAGTAGGGAAATAATTCAATTGAGTAAGTAAGTTGAAAAAACTGACTCTCTGTTCTGAAAAAAACTAAGCTTAGATTCCTACTTTCTACCATATACACATTTATAAAACAAAAGCCAATCCTAGATAGAGTACTAAGCAATAAGAATGTACAAAATATTGGAAGAACCAGGCACATTGGCCCACACCTGTAGTCCCAGCTACTCAGGAGGCTGAGGCAAGAAGATCTCTTTGGCCCAAGAGTTCAAGACCAATGAGGATAACACAGAGACACCATATCTCAAAAAATATATTTTTTGATTAGAAGAATATGTGGGAGAATATTTTTATAATCTGGAGTGCAGAAGCCTACTTAAGTATGAAACAAAAACAAGAAACTATAAAAGGTTGAAATGTTTGTCTATTTACATAATTAAATCTTTTTTATGGTAAATAGCACCATAAATAAATTTAAAAGACAAACTGATAAACATTTGCAATATACACCAGACAAAAGGATATCAACTCTAATATCCAGAGATCTACAAATTAATAATAAAACAAGACACATGACACAACAAAATAGGTAAATGATACAAACAATCTCTTACAGAAGAAATAAAAATAGCTAGTAAATGTATGAAAAGTTGCTTAACTTTACAAATTATTAGAGAAAAATAATTTAAAGGAATGAGATTAGATTTTCCATCCAAAATATTGACGAAAGTCAAAAATAACAGCATTCAGCATGCCAGGAGGGCAATTTAGCTCAAACATATTGATCCAGAAATTATATTTCTCAGGTACCAGCTCTTTAAAATCATTGTAAAAGTGCAAAAAATTGTAAAGATGCTTTATATAGCATTATCTATATTAGCAACAAACTGTTAACAACCAAAAGATCTATCATGTGGAAAGAATTGAATAAAAAATTGTAAAGATGCTTTATATAGCATTATCTATAATAGCAACAAACTGTTAACCTAAAGATCTAATGTGGAAAGACCTGAATAAATAATATAGTACTCCCTACTCTGAAATTTTCTGTAGCTGTTTTATAAAATGACTTTCTACTGAGCAGGACAAAAGCAAGTTGTAGAATATATGTACAGGATGTTAATTTTATGTTAATAATATAATTATAATATAATATTATTATATTTTATTATGTTACAATAATATAACATTTAATGTCAATAATAATAACATATCAACACTTTTCACTCCCTGTTATGTTTTTTCATTTTCTAAAACAAATGAGAATACATTCAAGTAAATAAAAAAAAGTATGAGGAAGTTAACAAAACAAAGAGTCATGGCTATCTCTGGGAGATAGGATTAGGAGGATATTTTCACTTTTTACTTTATACACTACTGCTTTTTTTTTTACTTTTTACAATAAACATATATTACTTTTATAATAAACAATAAGCCCACCCTATAAAACACACACACACATATATATACACATATATAGGTATATATATGGAATATACATATATACATACATATGTGTATATATGGAATATACATATATACCTATGTATGTGTATATATGGAAACATAAAAAAAGTGATTTGAAATCTGACTATGCAGAAGCAATTATTGTTAACATATCAACACTTTTCACTCCCTATTATGTATTTTTCAACATATTTTGGATCATGCGCTATGTAATTTTGAGCTTGTTTTTCAATAAATATAATATTCTATTTCCCTATGTCAATAAAAACACATTAACATAAAGTTTAAATGTATTTTAATTTTGAAAATAATGCATGTTCAAAATAGAAAATTTCAAGAACAAAGAACCAAAAGAATAAAAATCCCATGTAGTCTTACTAGCCACAGATAAATTACTTTAAAAAATAATGAAAGACAAATGTACAGAAAGGGATTAATAATCCTTAGATTGTGCACACTGTCTCATTGATTCATGCAAGGCCCTCTTTTATTTTTACCCATTAACTTGCCTTTTTATTTAATGTTAATAATAATCATAAAATTATTAAATAATCAATAATGGGATTTCAAATACATAATGAAACCAACCACTACCCAACACATGAGTACTAGAATATTAACCATAATATGAATTCATTTATAGTCCTCCCATATTCTGACCCTCTTTCCTCAACCCCAGTGACCATTATCTTCAATTTTTAAATTTTTTTTTGCTTTTGAATAAATTATTTGTATGCTGTGTGTATGTAGCCCTAAATAATATAGTGCTTAGTTTTACTTGTTTTTGAATAATACAAAAAGGATATCCTATTATATGTAGTCTTTTGAGACATGATATCTTAATATTCTAGAAGTAAAATCTACCCACATTATGTGTAGCCGTAGAACATTCATATGATGACTATATAATATTTTATGTGAAATATACCATGATTTATCCATTTTCTTTTTGGGACTTTTACTACTAACATTTTAGTGTATATCTTCTAGTTATTTTCCTGAAGGCATTTAGTTTTAGTTTTCCTTCTACAAAACATGAATATTATACATATTTTCGTGACCTATTTCTCTCACTGGTGATACCTGATGAACATACTCCCATTTTGGTAAATATTCTTCCATGGTATAAATTTAAATGACTGCACAGTATTCCATGAGATAGTTACAATATAATTTTCTAACCACCCCAACCGTTAGACATATGATTGCTTGTAATTTTTTTGCTGTGATTATGATGCACATAGTCTTGTTTGGCTCAGCAACTCTCCTTTTAGAAATTTATCCTAAGTAATATGCAAACACATCTGCACACAAATATGTACAGGGACACCATGTAGAATGACACAGTTTCTGTTCTTCACACCTTACATAAAGTATGTGCTGATCACAGAAGTTTTTATAATACAAGAAAATTGGAAGGAACTTAATGCTCACCCATAGGAGATGGAGTAAATAAATTATGTATTAAAATTATTACATAGCTGCACAGTTACTGACATAGAAAGTTGTTCACAATTTATTGCTAAGTGTAAGAAAGAAATAGGTTAAAATGCAGTATGATTACATTTTGTACAAGAAAATATACCAGTGAAAGTGTCTAGAAGAGCATACACAAAAATCTTTACAGTGATTATCTCTGGATATTGAAATTATTTGAGAATTTATTTTTTTCAGTTTGCTAACATATATTTTGAAGTGTTTCCAACAGTAAAACTTGATTCCATGTACAAGAAAAACGATGAATAAATAAATAATAGTTTTGTGCACAATTGCTTAAATATTTTTCCTGAATAGAAAATACCTGTACATTGTAAGAACTTAAAAATAAAAGAATATATAGAAGAAAATAAAATCATACATAATCCAACCTATCCAGTGATAATTAGTTTAGAGTCCCCAATACATTTACTTCTAGTCATTTGTCACTGATTATATATTTTTAAATAGTTGCCATCACACTTTATGTAACCTTGTATGCTGATTTTTCACTTAACTTATAAAATGAATATGCCACAGTATTTTAACGGAAGAATATTCCATCATAGGTACATGGCACATTTTAGTCATTCCCTTAATGTTAGATTAAGGTTTTTCTGTTTTTCACTATACCAAATAACTATGTGAGGAGTATCTTTGTGCATGAATTATCCACATTTCAGATGATTTCCTTGGATGGATTCCTTGAAGTGGAATATACTAAAGCAAAATGTATATTTTTATATCCCTTGATATATATTTTCCAATAGTATTTCATATATATTTTAAGGCAAAATGAGTAGCAGGGAAAACAAAGAGGTCAAAACAGCTGGGTCCCATGGCTATTGTTAGCACTCAGATTAGTAAAACTGATATATAAAAATCTTTTTTATTTAAGTCACAAGGCTATATTGTGAGAACCAAATGAGAATACAGATTCTTCAGAGTCACAATAAATATTACTTCTTTAGGAATGCTTTCCTTGATTTTCCAGACTCTCGGTTACTTTTTCTTCATGGCCTTACAATTGATAAGTAATTTTTCGATTATCTGTACGTTTGTTTCCCACAGATGATTTTAAGCTTTATCAAAACAAACCTGGCATACAGTTAGCGCTCAATAAATATTTGTTGAATGAATGAATGAATGAATGAGGTGACAGCACTCTATAAAGTATAAATCATTAGACATTCAGAAAGTATTTCTATTTTAATTGGTATTATTATTATTGTTCCTTTTTGTTACATTATAGATGATTTTAAATCTTTAGAGAGTCCCTGCCTAACTGTAAAAATTTAATTATGTGGTTTTCATGGTTTTCACGTCAGCCAGAGGCCTGGGTAGCAACATTGCTGAAGGTACCTGGTGGGAGCTGAGACTTAGAGAACCAAGTAGTTAGTTCTCTAGATCAGCATGCTGCGATTTAAGGAGTTGTAGCTACCATTAGTTGGATACAACGCAGTGATCAGGAACCCAGGAAGCAGGTAGATGCTGGAGGTTAGAAACAAACTAAAGGTAAGTGCTCCACATAGTAAGGTACAAACTGGAGAATAGTCAGTAATAAGGGATTCAAACAGATAGAAGAGATAAATTCCAAGCACCAGTACTCAAAGCATGGAGCTATGAATATGATTCTGAAGCAAAGGGTAATTGAACTCTGCTTCCTTATGGTATCAGAAAGTGTTTGCACCTACTTCCATATACAGGACCAAGGGAATGGTAGTAGCTGGTTGGGGAATAAAAGCTGTGCATACAAATAGACTCTGGCAGTGACAGGATCAAGCGAGACCATTTGTATATGGAATTGTATAATATTCTACACATAATGTGGAAGCAGTCAACCTTTGGATCACATCATTCTATCATGATTTTAAACAGCAGATATCACAACATAGTGGTTACAATCATGGACTCTCACAACAGGCTAGCCAGGTCCGGCTCCATTATTTAGTAGTTGTGTCCTGTGGACAATTTACTTCACCTCTGTGTGCCAGTTTCCTCATCTGTAAAATAGGGATAATGATGGTACCTAGCTTCAATGGGTTGTTGTGAAGATTAAATGAGTTAATGCATGTAAGGATCTTAGAACAGTGCCTGGACGTAGCAAATGCTATGTTAAGTGTTGTTGTTATTATTATTATATTATTCTTTGGTCACATAAGACCAACGTTAAAAATTGATATCATTTAAAATGGACAAATAATACACTACATGTTAACTTTACCTAAAATACCAGTCTTAAACAGGAATTTTTCTCATTAAATAAAAATTTCACTTAGACCTAAACATAGTCAACTGTATAAAAACTGTAAGCACTAGTGAAGTAGTAAAATTTATTGCAGCAGTCCTATCTGTTTATTCTGCAGAAGTTTTATTGTGGACATTATTTTTAAAAGTTGTAGAGATTAAATACACATTGCCTAATTGTAAAAAACACAAACTGCAGTAAGATCTGGTCTATAAGGAGGAATGTCCCATTAAATGTTTTTGAAGCTAATTCAACTAGAAGCAGAAATAGTTGAGTTGGAAGATTTTTCTGTAGAGTGATTTTAACATGGGAAGGCTCAGACAGGGGAAGCCTAGATTTGAAAAGGCCTGGACCTGGGGAAAGGTTGGAAGATCTGGACTATAGAATATGTTAGAATACCTGGATATTGCAGACACTGGAAGACCTGAATGTTAGAAGATCAGCACACTGGAGACGTTGGAAGACATGGATATTGAGCCAGTTGATGGAAGACTGGGTAGTTGTTGGAAGACATGAAGATGCTGGAAGACACAGAGATGCTGGAAGACGGGGAGATGTTGGAAGACGAGCAGATGCTGGAAGCCCTGGAGATGCTGGAAGACCTGGAGATACAGGAAGACATGGATTTGTTGGAAGACGTAGCTTAGTTGGAAGACATATAGTTTCCGGAAGATGTGGATTTTCTGGAAGACATGGCTTGGTTGGAAGACATGGATTTTCTGGAAGACGTACCTTTCTTGGAAGACGTACCTTTGTTGGAAGACGTATTTCCGGAAGATGTGGATTTTCTGGAAGACATATTATGGAAGACATGAAAGAGCGACACAGTGAACAATAATGACTCCGAAGACGACTTTTGGAAGACGATCTTTGTTGGAAGATCGATCTTCTTGGAAGACGACTTGTTGGAAGACGTACCTTGTTGGAAGACGACCTTCTTGGAAGACGACTTTGTTGGAAGATCATCTTTCTTTGGAAGACGACTTTCTTGGAAGACGTACCTTTGTTGGAAGACGTACCTTTGTTGGAAGACACAGGTAGGCTGGAAGACATTAATTTGATGGAAGACATGGCTTTGTTGGAAGACGTGCATTTGCTGGAAGACACAGATTTCCTGGAAGACCTGGATTTTTCGGAAGCTATGGATTTGAGGGAAGACAAGGATTTTCTGGAAGACGTGGATAGTCTGGAAGACATGGCTTTGTTGGAAGACATGGATTTGCTGGAAGACACAGATTTCCTGGAAGACGTGGATTTTTTGGAAGCTATGGATTTGAGGGAAGACAAGGATTTTCTGGAAGACATGGATAGTCTGGAAGACCTGGAGGCCATTGGAAGACGTGGATTTTCTGGAAGACATGGTTTTTTTGGAAGATGTAGATTTTCAGGAAGACCCGAATTATCCGGAAGACCTGGATTGTTGGGAAGACGTGGATTTTCTGGAAGACTGGGAGGTTACTGGAAGACTGGGAGGTTACTGGAAGACATGGATTTTCTGGAAGACATGGATTTTCAGGAAGACGTGGATCTTCAGGAAGACATATATTGGCTGGAAGACCTGGATTTTTTCCGGAAGACGTGGATTGACTGGAAGACCTGGATTTGGTGGAAGACATAGATTTTTCTGGAAGACGCTGACTGACTGGAAGACCTGGATTTCTTTCTGGAAGACACTGATTGACTGGAAGATCTAGATTTTTCTGGAAGAACTAGATTTACTGGAAGACTTGGATTTGGTGGAAGACGTAGATTTTTCTGGAAGACATGGATTAGCTGGAAGATCTGTATTTGATGGAAGACCTTGAAATTATTGGAAGACACGTATTTTCTGGAAGACATGGATTTTCCTGGAAGATCTGGATTTGGTGGAAGACCTATAATTGCTGGAAGACTGGATTTACTGGAAGACTTGGAGCTTCTTGGAAGACGTGGATTGTCCGGAAGACATGGATTGTCTGGAAGATGTTGATTTTCTGGAAGCTCAGGATTATCTGGAAGACCTTGAGATTGTCGGAAGACTTGAAGTCGCTGGAAGACCCGGAGTTGTTGGAAGACCTTGACACTGGCGCCATTGGAAACCCTGGACATTGGAAACATTGTAAGCACAGGATATTGGAGACATTGCAAGCCTTGGATTCTGAAGACATTGGTTACTCTGGGCATTGACGATTCTGGAGGCCCTGAACATTGGGATATTGAATATTGGAAGTCATAGACAGTGAAATCTCTGGAAATTAGAGATATTGTAAGTCCTGTACCTTGGAACTCCTAAATACTGGCAGATATGAACAACGGCAAGATATAGACATTTATAAATCCTAAAATGAGAAGCCCTGGATTTTGGGAGACATTGGTAAGCATGGATACTGACATATTTATGTCAAAAGACAGTTTGGAAGAATTAAATTTTAAAGATGCTGGACGTCAAGAATACCGGCAGTCTGGACAATATGAGACCAGGATATTAAGAGGTCTATTCATTCAGACATTGAGGCTATTGATGTACCTGAAAATTGTAAGACCTAGTTCTTGCAGGTATTAAAAGACTTGGGCATTGGAGGAATTGGCAATAAAAACACACTGTAAAACTAGAATGTAGGAGACATTTAAAAATGTAAAAACTGTGTGATGTAAGTGCTGGAAGACATTGAAGAATCTAGACTTAACACTATGAGATACATAGCCTCTAGAACACCTGTATATAGGAGACATTGGAGGATTAGGACCATGGAAGACTTGTAATTTAGAACTCTGGATCCTGAAAGACAAGACCTGGACTTTGAAGATGGGTTGTTGGAGATATTAGTAAGACCTACATTTTTAATAACTTGAATACTGGGAAGTTTAGAAAACAAGGGCATTGGAGATGCTGCAGGAGAGGGACTGGAATGCGTGGATGTTATAATATTGGGAAGATCTGGCAATTAAAGATGTTGGAAGCTTTGGAGCTTAGAAGACTTGAGTTAGAGAAACTGAAGAACAGAAAGGCCTAATCTTAATGGTATTGGAAAGTCATGCTGAAAGATAGTAGCAATATTCAAAGAGTTGTGCATTAGGGCCTGGATATTAAATTAAAAGACATCATGAGACTACTCTTGTAGTCTTTAATACTATTGCATCTCTTCTGCTAAAAAGCAAAACACAAGGAAATAGTATTCTAGGAAAGTGAGAAAGAGAAGGCAGGGAAATTCAAGAAAAAGCAAATAGTTTGAATGGGTTAGAAGCTATTTTCATAGTCTCGATGAACTGGCCTTATTAGTTAACAAGATGGGAATGGGAAATTATCAAAGAATAAGCAGTATCTAGGTTGAGAGAACTGCTTAGCTTTAGATCAGGGATCAACAAACATTTTCTGTAAAGGTTCAGAAGTAAATATTTAAGGCTTTACAGGTTACATTGTCTCTGTTGCAACTACTCAACTCTCCCATTGTAGTGCAATCACGGACAGTAAGTAAATGAATGGGGATGGCTGTGCTGCAATAAAACTTTACTTAAAAAAAAAATGGTTGGGCTGCATTTGGCCCAAGGGCCTTAGTTTGCTATTCCCTGCTCTAACTCCAAATCAAGGATATGGTAAAGTTAAGTACATTCCAGCCTAGCATTCACATATGAGAACAAGCAGAGAACAAGAGAACTTGTTCTCACATGGAGAACAAGCAGAGAAAATTGAAGCCGAATGATAAATAACAATATCATGTGCTGTAATGATAGGAGATGAAACTGGCAAGAACCTAAGAATTTAGATCTCTAGGTAATTGTTTGGACAATTGCCCAAACAGGGAGCCTTGTATTCAGAGCCAAAATTAAATGGGTTGCATTCAGGGGCCCAACCAACAGGGCTGAGGATCGATGAGGATGTCCTGATTTAATTAAATAAGCTGGAAGCTTAAGTAAATTAGAGAAGAAACCTACCCCTACAGACTGGACATCTATGGAGGGGAACAGGAAAAAGATTATAGCTTGGCAGACTCTTCCCAGCCACCCTGGCTTCAGGTAATATATGTAATTTCTTAAGTGACAAAGAGCTTAAGTGACAAGCTTAAGGGATCAGACTTGAGCTGTGGGCTGAAGGCCCTTAGTACTTAGATAAGGCTGAGGAGTCAGGAACTATCACATATATTACATGAAAGAGAACACTGGCATACAAAACTGGGAAAGTACACTGGAACTAGGCCATGTATGATTTAAAGACCAAATAGTGGAATATATAGACAATGGGTGGTCATTAGACGTCTATGAACAAGGAGATATTGGAATCAGAACTGTACATAAGGAAAGTCAGTTGAGCAGCAAGGTGCTGAATAGCAAAGACTACTAGATATACATAGTAGAACACCTAATACTCCAAGCCAAAACACTTAAAGGGTTGGGATGTGAGGCTAATACAGTTATGTAGGTAAGTGGTAGTGGGGGCTAGAATTAAGGCAGTGACATTTCTGTCACTCAGCAGACACAGCATCAGTTATGATGAATACTTAGCATTCTGAATAACACTATTTTAAACTTCTTGAATGCCATCATAGAACACATGAAATTCAAAGAAGTTCAGAAGCCAGCTGTGAGGAATTTTCCTTGCCTAGTAAGATTACGTAGATTTACACAAATTCTCTCAAAAGGCAGCTGAGCTAATACCTTGTTGGTCAAGCAAAAACAGGTCCTATTTAGCTTCATCTTTACCCCTATATCACAGCTACCTAATTTTCTTTAAAGTGGAAACAAGTGGATGGATTATTTTCTAGAGAATAAGAACATATCCATGTCCAAAACTGAGATTACCTCTAATCACTACACAAATAAATGTTATGCAATGATAACCATATTATAGCATGAAGAATCACTGCAAATCAGGGAGTAACTTACAGGCAAGCAAATTATTGTTTCATGTATCCCTCATCAGCAAACAAAAAGAAAAACTAAAACTCATTTTTAAACTTCCTTCTCTCATCTTAAAACCATCATGCATACCTTAATTTGAGGGAAATTAAGTATCAAAATGTGAAAATTTTGCAAAGATAAGCACAAACTCTCATATTCTGATTGCATAATGCTTATTCATATAATAATAATAACAATTTATTGAGCGCTTACTATGTGCCAGGCACTGTACTAAGGATTTCATATAATCTTATAGCAATCCTACAATGCAGGTATTTTTGACCCCATTTTACAGATCAGAAACTGAAGTCTGGAATGGTTAAGAAATAAGCCCACAGTCACACAGCTGGTAATTGATAGGAGCAGGATTTGAAAGCAGATCCGTGTGATTACAAAACCTTGGCTCTGTGCTGATTCTCCACAACCCAATAACCCAGGGGTGGTACTGCCAGGACTAAGTGCCAAAAAGAGGGTGTCCCCAGTCCAGAGCAGACAAGAAGTGAAGAAGTCAGTGGCAGAGCTCTCACTTTAAGTTCCATTTTCTTATCATTGTGATACTCACCATACCACTGCCAAGTAGTCAAGAACCAATTCTAGGTGTTTGCAAAGATGAATTAATTATATCTTTAGCTTTATGTAGCAATGCAAGAAAGATGAAGTGCAATGTCTCAAACACAATGGATTCATACTTAATTTCTCAGTATTTGTTATTTATGCTAATGATACTTATTCTTTCATCTATTTTCTATTTGATTTTATAGTTCCCAGTAATATATACACTCTGTTCATAGTACATCATATTTCTGAATTCTTAGCAACCATAACACACTGACATCAAAGGCCATTAAAAGGTAATAACACTATGTAAAGTTCAGTGATCAATGCATTTCACATCGTAAACATTGTTCACGCAAGCTTTTAGACTCTATATACTGTCAAAACCTTTTATTAGCATTCAGGTGGTAGAAGCTATATAATCCAAATGTGTAATTTAAAGAGCTTTCTCTGCATTTTGAACTTAAAAGATTTTCAACAAAAAGTTCTTTTTAAATGTAATACAGGTTTCCTAACATATTCGTCCCATTTCATCAGCCTGGGCTGCCCTTTCTCCCCACCCCTCTCTCTCTCTTTTTTTTCTTTTTGCCACAATGGTTAAACATGTCTGTAAAGAAGGGAATTTCCATGCACTTTGTAATACTGAGCTCAAGAATTTACCCAAACCATTTGGCAACAGATTCTCTCCACTCAAACTGTGCATAAAACATACTAAAAGAAACTGCAGCTTTTATATTTGGGGGACTATTCTTAAACAAGAAAAAAAACTCATTTACATGGCAGTGTTGTCATTAACTTCTATTTCTACCTTTAGCCTATACCAAACTTCCTCATCCTCCTACAAGTTTTGCTGACTTGTTGAACTTAACCACGGTAAAATGTTCTTTGACTCTCATCAGTGATACTTCTTAGGTTGTTTTAACTGGATATTGTCTTAAACAATAATTTGATTTATCCCAATATTTTATTTCAAATGACCTGGGCCCTAGATAAATGTTTCCATACATCAAGCCAAAGTCAAAGTATTCCCATGACAACTAAAATCATATAATAGTCAATTTCTCATTTTATTATTTATATTAAGAGTTCCTAGTTGATGCAATTCAATTTAACCTTTTATTTCTCTAATTTTGGTCAAATTAAATGGAAAAATTGCCAAGGTAGTAATCTCAATAAATGGTAAAATTATCAAAACAGCTTTTTTTTTTCTTTTTTTTAGATGGAGTCTCACTCTGTCGCCAGGCTGGAGTGCAGTGGTGCGATCTTGACTCACTGCAACCTCCACCTCCCAGATTCGAGTGATTCTCCTGCCTCAGCCTTCCAAGTAGCTGGAATTACAGGTGCGCACCACCACACCCAGCTAATTTTTATATTTTTAGTAGAGACGGGGTTTCACCACGTTGGCCAGAATTGTCTCGATCTCTTGACCTCGTGATCTGCCTGCCTTGGCCTCCCAAAGTGCTGGGATTACAGGCGTGAGCCACCGCGCCCAACCAAAACAGCTCATTCTTTAAAGTCATATAGAACCACTGATAATACTAAGGAAAAGATCACTGATTTAAAAATATTTACCTGTAGATGTGATTAAGAAGGAAACGATCTATGAAAACTTAAAGCATTCACCATACAGAGTTCTCTGTTTGGGTTTGTGGAAACAATCGATACAAAATATTGGCATTTTACACACAATATCTGTGGATTATTTTTCCCAAACCCTATAACCCAGAGTGGGGAAAAAGGCTATTTTCACAGAAAAAGAAACTCCCAGTAGGTATTTCCTCTCTTTCCTTTCAGAGAGTTGGTGTCTATATTTGCCTTGTTTCTACGGCATTATGCCCTACTTCCTTTTCTGGGAGGGACTAAAACATGGTAAAACTTGAACCATGAGCACAATTACACAATGCAATAATACTCCTATTTACCTTGGTCTCTATGAAAAAGTTCAGATATTCTCAAAATCAACCATTGTGGTTGATGCACCTTTCTCTCAAGGTAATGTCAGAGATAGAAAGACTTTAGACGCCAAGTAGTCTTACTCTCTCATTTGAAAGACAACGAAAGATAGGAGAGACTTGAATAAGACCATTCATTGAACTAGTGGCAGAACAAATCGAAGTTTCCTAGTTCCTGGGCCCACTACCATTTATATTTTCTATCATAATTTTCCTTAGCTTTCGAGCGGCAGTTTGAAAACCATGGCTATCTAAAGAAACACTGGAGGAACTTTTGAAATATACAGATTCTGGCCCTATCCCTGATTCCGCAGGTCTGTGTGCAGTTCCTGGAAATCTATATTTTTCAAAGCTTTCTGTCATTACTCTGACACACAGTCAGTGTTGAGAACAACTGTGGTTTAGATCAAGAGCATAAGCTCTCCTGGAACTGTGGCGGATCGCTAGATCCACAGTATCCTACAATGGGTTTTCAACCCTCATCATCCTCATTTGAGCATGTTGAAGAATATCTGTCATCTCAACCATAACCATGCAAGCAAGCCCTTTTATTATTATTATTTTACTTTAAGTTCCAAGATACATGTGCAGAATATGCAGGTTTGTCACATAGGTATACATGTGCCATGGTGGTTTGCTGCACCCATCAACCCTTCATCTAGGTTTTAAGTCCCACATGCATTAGGTGTTTGTCCTAATGCTCTCCCTTCCCTTGCCCCCCACCCCACAACAGGCCCCTGTGTGTGATGTTCCCCTCCCAGTGTCCATGTGTTCTCATTGTTCAACTCCCACTTATGAGTAAGAACATGTGGTGTTTGGTTCTCTGTTCCTGTTAGTTTGCTGAGAATGATGGCTTCCAGCTTCATCCATGTACCACAAAGGGCATGATCTCAATTATTTTTCTTTTTTATGGCTGCATAGTATTCCATGGTGTATATGTGCCACATTTTCTTTATCCAGTCTATCACTGATGGGCATTTGGGTTGGTTCCAAGTCTTTGCTATTGTAAATGGTGCTGCAACAAACATATGTGTGCGTGTGTCTTTATAATAGAATAATTTATAATCTTTTGGATATATACCCAGTAATGGGATGGCTGGGTCAAATGGTATTTCTGGTTCCAGATCCTTGAGGAATCGCCACACTGTCTTCCATAATGGTTAAACTAATTCACACTCCCACCAACAGTGTAAAAATGTTCCTATTCTCCACATCCTCTCTAGCATCTCTCATTTCCTGACTTTTTAATAATCGCCATTCTGACTGGCCTGACGCGCGGCAGGTGTGGACAGGCCAGCGTGAGACACACCCAGAGTAGGTGGGCATGCGCAGGCTGGGGTAAGGAGGACCCCAGCGGGTGGCGGGAGAAAGGAAGGAATAGGGACAGACGACACCACTGGTCCAACGGTCCCCCGAGCACGCAGGCAGACAAACCCTTGTGTGGAGGGCTCACTGTCAACAGATGGCAGTGAAGAAGTTGCTCTGCTACTCACGAAACCCCGACTCAGAAGTCGGTTGTCTAGGAATGGTTTAGCGCCAAGTTCTTCACAAACGTGTGTTGCATGATGCGCAAGGGGGTGGCTGCCTTTCTGGCCAAGGCCCGTTTTCCAGGATGAGGGGCTCTCCGCACCAGACCCCGGTCTGGCTCGCATTGTGGTTTTGATTTGCGTTTCGCTAATGATCAGTGATCATGAGCTTTTTCTCATGTTTGTTGGCTGCATAAGTGTCTTCTTTTGAGAAGTGTCTGTTCATATCCTTTGCCCACTTTTTGATGGGGTTGTTTTTTCTTGTAAATTTGTTTAAGCTCCTTGCAGATTCTGGATATTAGACCTTTGTCAGATGGGTGGATTGCAAAATTTTTCTCCCATTCTTTAGGTTGCCTGTTCATTCTGATGCTAGTTTCATTTGCTGTGCAAAAGTCCTTTTAAACTTTTTTGTTCCTTTTCCTTCAAAATATCAAACTCACGTATAGTTCACAGACTGAGGAGAAAGTTACTGGACTCCCTTACGCCAAATTTCATGTTGAGTAGGCTTGTTTCCTGCTTCCTACAAAACCAAATTCAATTTACTCTCCAATGTCAGTTTTTGACACTGCTGTTTAAAGCATTTTTTTTCATTACTGTACATACATTTCCTCATTCTAGGTTGTCTTTATGTTTTCTCAAGTTATATAAAGTCTCTTTTTGGCAAGCACATGCCAATGAACTATCTTTCTTCTTTTCTCTATTCAGGTTTTCTGTGCATCATTATCAGATATAATGATGAGGTCAGTGCTGTGAATCCGGCACAAATAGCAATTAAGACAGAAACAACAGCATTGTTATTTGGACTTCCTCTCTATTCCCCAGAATAACTGTCCAACTGAGTTCAAAATGGACATCAGTTGGGAATGTGTACAAGCAGCCAAAAGAACAGGCAGGTTCATCCTATGTCTTTGCTCAAAATCCTTAGAACAAGATAACAGCGTCATATCTCTGGCTTTGTGATTTTTTTTCCCCTCTGTCAAATCTGCCTGGAAAATTCCAAACATCCAAAATTAAAACAACCATAACAATAACTTGTGTAACACAATTGAATCAAATAAAGTAAATATAAGGAATTATGGAGGGAATTTAAAAACAATCTGAGAATGATGTCTCCATCACCATCAGAGAACAGGAAGTAATATATCTGTTTTGTTTTTGTTTTTGTTTTTGTTTTTTTGGAGGATATTCAACTCTTCGAATCACTGGGGAGGCCAGATATGAGAACAGAAAGAATCTATGAAAATGAACTCTAGCAACTGTTCCTCCTTGATTAGCTACCAAAGGAAATCTGGAAATTTAACATAAATATACTGTTTTTCAGGATCAGCCAATAGCTAACATATACAACTGCTGCAAAACAAATTAATTTAACGTATACCAAACTAATCCTTTCTGGTGAGATCACAAGTTAGGCTTAATCAGAATTAAAACAAATTTCAGATCAAGAGTACAAAATCAAATCATCCAGCCAAGTACAGTAGCAGCACACTCCTTAAATGCCATAGTTGAGTTTCTGAAACTCTCAGAGTATCCGTGTTGTAGGAATTTAAGACCTTTTAGGAAAAAATGAGGCAGGGATGTGAGTATTACGAAAGCCCAGATAATTAGTTTGTTCACCAAAATAAAACAATAAAATAAATATCAATGATATTTTATATTAGCAATAGTGGATATCAGGCAATTAACTTCCTTTGTGATCTCAAGATGAAGATGATAACGCATCAATGAAAATGCTTGGTCATAACAGTAGTAACAGGGAAAGAATAGAGAAAATCGCATTTCGTCTGAAGAGATGTAAGCTCTGTCTTCTGCTCCTCTTTCATTCCCAGCACACAAATCACCACATCATCAGAGCCATCAGAGTCTGAATCCCAAGGTTTAACCATCTGTGTGCGGCGTATCTACTTCCTGTTTTTCTGTTTGCAGAACGGGTTTGAATGACATGTCCTAATGTCAACCTCTTCTCCCCTTTCAAGTAAGCAGAGAGAAAAGACTTATCGGTGTTTGTTTGGAGGTTTATTACTACTGCGTTATAGGACTGTAAATAATCATCTAAGCCTTACCTGAAAGTCAATATGTAGTCCACCAAAGGACCTCTTTCTTTTGAATCACTGTGACAATTTCATTTGTGGAGTAGATACTTGAACATTCTTAGAGTTCTGGATGTTAACGTATGCTGGCTTCTTTTATTGCCTTTTGATGTGATCACATCTCCAAAATATTTCTAAACTATCTTTTGACGGTGAGAGTCTAACAATTCAGTAATGTCAATTAACTCAATGTCTTTGAGGCCTTCACTATTCAAATGGTTTGCAGATGTTACAATATTTTCAATTTCTTCTACCACTGGAAGGAAACCTTCCGAATCAGTCACAACCTCATTCCAAAATTTCTGCCAGACTTCATTAAGTGTTGATTGTTTTATTTGTCTCACTGATTCTTCTACACCTGTTAAAGCATTACAAATGGAGAAATTTTGCCAAGCCACTTTCACAGTAAAGTTCTGGTGTCTCTGATAAGATCTGCGGGTAGTCGAAATACAGGCCGAGCGTAGTACATCAGAAACTTTAGCACTCTCAGATGCATGAGTTGAAGGAGTGGAGTCGTACTGGGGGTAATGGAGATGACTTGAACACAAGGAGCAGCATTTATGACTGCATTTTTGTCTGTAGGAGCAGTGTCCAGAATCAGCAACACTGTGAAGTCAAGATTTTTTATTCATTTAAATATTATTTAACCTCAGAACAAAACACTTCAAAGACCAGTTCAAAAAGAGTTTCTCAGTGATCCATATTTTATGGTTTCCCTTCATGTAGACAGAAAAGTGTTTCTGGCCTTCTCTTGTAAAAAGGCAACAATTTTGGACTCTGTTTAATCGGAACACACTGGAACAAAGCAGAACTTCGAGTTTGTCTTTTCCAGGCTTGAAGCCTCTGGTCCTTTTCTCATGCTTTGCAATAGATGTGCAAGTAGGCATTTGCTTCCAGAGTTTCAGCAGCACTGACAACCTGCTCAAGCAAATTGCCATTTTCCTCAGTCATCTTCTTCAGGTATTCAGGATACTCTCCGGCAGCTTCTTAATCTGCTTCCTCTGCCAGCCACTTCTCTACTTCCTTTCATTACAGGCCACAGCTTTGCTTCGCTTCTCTTCTCTTCTTCTCTTCTCTTTTTCTCCTCTCCTCTTCTCTCTTCTCCTCTCTTCTTTTCTTTTTTTGAGACAGAGCTTCACTGTTGTCACCCAGGCTGGAGTGCAATGGCACGATCTCGGCTCACCTGCAACCTCTGCCTCCTGGGTTCAAGGGATTCTCCTGACTCAGCCTCCTGAGTAGCTGTGATTACAGGCACCCACTACCATGCCTGGCTAATTTTTGTATTTTTAGTAGACACAAGGTTTCACCATGTTGACCAGGCTGGTTGCAAACTCCAGACCTCAAGTGATCCACCCACCTGGCGTTTCTTAAACCTACCCAACCACCCATTACTTGCAATGAATTTTATAACTTTCCATCCAGATTGAAATTTAAATTTGCATTTTTGTGATGCTCACTGGCAGATTTTACATACGGAAAGAGACCTATTCAACCTTCTCTGTTTCAGAAGCCACAAGTGCACATCTCTTTATATTTTCTCTATTGTGGCATTTTGAGTTATGTATGATTTTCTCAGTGATCCTTGTGTGCCCCCGATTCACTGGCCCCAACTGCTTTCTCATTTTTCTTTCTTGTATGATGTGTAGGTTCATTAACACCAAAAATATGACCTAGGAAGTGTTGCTTTCACCATTATCAAGCATTTAAAGAACTTTCATTGTGTTCGCTATTAACACAACCTTTCTTGCCCTCTTTACTCTTCTTCCATCTCTATCATCCCTCTTCTTGTTCTTTTGCTTGCATGCCATTCTCACCCTAACTCATGCAAATTTACAATGACTGAAAGTTGTATATCACTGAGAGGACACAATATTAATTTGCAATACGTAAGAACCAAATGATAAAATTCACAAGACAAATAACAAGGCTACCCAGTTTTTGTATGACAACACGTGTGTGATCAATGGCTGCAGAAGCAACAATATCAAGCAGAAGAACAAGGGTAGAAAGAAGTAACCCAAAGGTTGGTCTTCTCACAGGAGGTAGCAAGAAAGAGGATGGTGACTTGAACTTGCATATCGTTCCAAAGCTCTCAAAGGCGCAGACTTAGGAAACCTTAAATTTTGTATGAGAATGACTTGCAGTTGTGAAGCGATCGTAGAACTCAGGAGTCAAGGTCAGGCTACCAGGCTGAGGTGAGAAGCACACCATCTAGGAAAAAGCAAACATAAAAATAGGAAATGAGGTCAGGAACAGAGGCAATCTAAACGAGTAGCTTATGAGCTAGTGAGAAAGACAGAAATTTGGAGTAATAAAAATATATGCCAAGGCCGGGCGTGGTGGCTCACGCCTCTAATCCCAGCGCTTGGGGTGTCTGAGGCAGAGGGATCACGAGGTCAGGAGTTTGAGACCAGCCTGTCCAACGTGGTGAAACCCCATCTCTACTAAAAATACAAAAGATTAGCTGGGCGTGGTGATGGGCACCTGTAATCCCAGCTACTTGGGAGGCTGAGGCAGGAGAATCACTTGAACCCGGGGGCAGAGGTTGCAGTGAGTCAAGATCACACCACTGCACTCTAGCCTGGGTGACAGAGTGAGACTCCATCTCAAAAATATATATATATGTGTGTGTGTGTGTGTGTGTATACACATATATACGTATATATATGTGTGTATATATATGCCAAATTGCCCTTACAAAGGTTGTACCAATTTGTATGCTAAAAGCAAATGAGAGTTCTTTTCTCTCATGTACTTACCAACATGAAACATAATCAGCATTTGTGACTTGTATCAATTAGAAGGTAAATAACAAGGTATCTAATGTTTGTTTTAATTGATTTCTTTCATCATCTTTCCTCTTTAAATACTTGTTCTTATCCCTCTTCCACGTTACATTTTTTTCTTACTGATTTATAGGTACTGTTAACATTTTAGAGATCTTATTTTTAATCCTCTCTATATTGCAAATATTTTCTCCAAGCATGTTATTTACTTTTGAATTGTATTACTTTTGTCTTTTGCCATACAGTTGCTTCTAGTATTTATGTAGTCAACTGTCTCTGCCTTGCTTTGAAGAGTCTTCCCCCCAATAAGATAATACAAATGTGTTCACTTATTCATTTTTAGTATTTTTACAGTTCTCTGGTAGAATTTCAAAACACTAAGGAAAGGATGGACTACTCAAAAAATGATGTTGGAATAAACGACTGACTATCCATCCACGAGTGTCTGGAGTTCTCTCCCAATGGCCTTGTTTCTCTCTAGAGCCTGAGAGTTTCTGGTAGTGCCATAACCCTTGGGCAACCAGGTTGAGCGCTCAAGTTGATCTTAGGTGATCCCTCAGTTTCTCTGGGTTAGTGTAGCTTGGAGAGGAAAGTGTTTTCAAATAAATAATTACTATCTATTTTGTTGTCTTAAGTTTTGTTCTTCCACCAATCCATACTATGACTCATATCAACTAAGCAACAGTACCAAGTTCTCAGATCTCAGATCTTCTGATAATGCTTCACTAATAATCAATCAATCAATAGTCACTCATAGTTTTGCAAGGACTGAGGGAATCTGAGCATGAGTAGGCTGTTAGATGACATTAGGTCACTGCTGTTGATTCTACTGGGTGCAGTAATGGAACTGTGGTAATATAAATAAATATATGTTTTGTCAGGGGAGGACCTGAAGCAAATACATATATAATGCTACCAGTAATTTATGTTATGAAAAAAATGTTAACAAGTTTTATATTGTTGTTTTGAGATGGAGTCTCACTCTATCACCCAGGCTGGAGTACAGTGGTGCGATCTTGGCTCGCTGCAACCGCTTCAGCCTCCGGAGTAGCTGGGATTATAGGCGTGAGCCACTACACCTGACTAAATTGTTACCAAGTTTTAAATCCAGGTGCTTGGTAGGTGGGCATTATAATTAGCATATAATGAGCAGTGAGGACGACCAGAGGTCACTGTCATCGCCATCTTGGTTTTGGTAAATGCTGGCTGGCTTCTTTACCACATGCTGTTTTATCAGCAAGGTCTTTGTGACATGTATCTTGTGCCGACCTCCTATCTCATCCTGTGAATAAGAATGCCTTAACCTCCTCGGAATGCAGCCCAGCAGGTCTCAGCCTTATTTTACCCAGCCCCTATTCAAGATGGAGTCACTCTGGTTCAAACGCCTCTCATACCATCTCTTCCAGGAAGCTTTCCCTGATCCCTCCTGCTGGCTCTGTATTGATGATGGAAACTCTCAGAGCCTTCCTCCAACGCCTACTCTGATTACAGCACTTAGGATATTTCACTACAGTGCCATCTGTTTTCCTGTGTTTTAATCATTTGGGAATGCCTTGACAGTAACTGGAATAGAATAGGTCCTCATTTTATAGCATAAATGCTTACAGTACAGAAAGTAAGACCAGCATGCAACACTCTCAAAAGCAGTAGCATTTGAATGGGACCTTGAAGAATGCGTAGAATTTTTAGGGTGTGGAGGAGAAGGCAAGCAGGTGGAAGGGCAAAGGCGGAGGCATGAAATTGCTGGGTACGCACGGAATTAGATGAGAGATGAAGCTGAAACAAAGGATGGCTGAAGTGGGCAGTAAAAATAAAACTGGAAAAGACTTGTTGAGGCAAATCATAAAGGGCTTCAGATGCCAGATTTCTTTGATGAGGTGGAGTTCTTTAGCTGTCTTGATATTAATGAAAGGGTTTATGTTTGCAATGAATAAAAAAGCAGATATTTAGGATTAATCTGACCTATTCTTACTAGGTTTCGGCACACAAAATGTATGGAAAATTTGCTTTCATGGAGGGGAGGGAGAAAAAACCGAATTTCATTAGATGCTATGGAAATCAAATGGGATTATAGAATTCCCACTGGCAAATAGAAGACAGCATCTAAGACTGAAATGGAAGACCTCCGTAAAACATAACAGGACTGGTCTAGAAAGATGTAAAAGCTGAAGCAAATGTAGATGAAGGAACAAATGGGGCCTATGAGGCCCTCTATGATCTGGCCCCAGACTGTTAAAATAGTTTCCTGACTAATTTGGCTATAACCAAGTCCACCCTCATAGCCACCAGCTTTTTATTCCCAAAACAGTACCTCTGCTGTGTTGTGCTTACTCAATAAGCCTTCGGTGGCTTCCCAATACCTACAGGACACATTCCAAACTCCTTGAACTGACCATCAGTGACCTTGTCCTAATTCTTGCTTCCTGCGTTTGTGGGCACTACAAGGCACCTTCCTCAAGAAAGGTTCTCTGGAAAGACTCGTTTACTTATTGGCTCCTGACCAAAATCATATTGTACCTCTGCTCACACCAGTCCTTCTAGCTGGAATGCTCCCTTTCCTTTCTATCTATGGAATCTCATCATCCAACTCAAGCCCCATTTAGTCCATTTTATGACCATTAGAAAGACATGAAGCCTTAGAGGAAGTAACTAGGTCCTATACTTATATGTGTTTGTGTATGTATATTAGTACAAATATATATATAATATATATACAAATACATATACTAATATATACACTAATATATACATATACTAATATATATTTATCATGTATAATTAAAGATATTATATAATTATTAGATTAATTACTCTACATAATTATATCATAATAATATAATAATTAGATTAATCTAATTATTATAGTTAATATTAATTATGAAGCTGAAACAAAGGACGGCTGAAGTCAGTCCCTCAACCTTGGCCTTGTCATCCTCTATAACCTCTAACAAATCCCCTCTCCTTCATCTAACTAGCTAGCTATCCCATTGGTTCTATCTCTCTGGAGAACTCTGACTAATACAAACTAGTTTATAGCTTGTCTAAAAACTTCAGAGAAAATATGTCTTCAAAATAATAATAATAATAATTATTATTATTATATATAATATATAATAGAAGAATTAATTATAATATATTATATATTATAATATATATGTATTGTATATATTGCATCATTAATTCAGAGGCCCAGAGAGAGGAAGCAGCAGTGATCTTGCACAGCTTCTAAGATTACTATTGTACTTCTATTGTATAAGTACAGAATGGATGTGTTAACACTAACCCTTTTGTTACAGTCAAATCTTCCTAACATTTCATTTCCTCCTGAGGTCTTCGATCTACACTTGAATGAAGCATTATCAAAGGAGAAAGGGAATAAGGTCGAGGAAATGGAACTAACATGTTTTGATGTGAGCACTCGGTATGTAGCAAACCCTTTACAACCTGGTCATATTTTGGCCTACAACAGCCTCGTATTTGAAAAAGCAGAAGCTCAAAGATGACATGTGGCATGTCCAAAGTCACACAGTTAGCGTCCAAGCTCCAGACTCCAATACTCGTGTTTTTTACACTAACCTAAGCTGTTTCCCCTTAAAATGAGTAGCTGTCATTTACATTCTGGTGCATGTGAAAATTCTGTCATGGAGCTGTGTTATGGTTTGAATGTCTGTCCCCTCCAAAACCCATGTTGAAATGGAATTGCCACCGTAACAGTATTAAGAGGTGAGATCTTTAAGAGGTGATTAGGTTCCGCTGTCATGAATAGATTAACACCATTTTCATGGGAGTGGATTCTTTACAAAAGGGCAAGTTTGGCCTCTCTCCTTTGCCATGGGATGACACAGCAAGAAAGCCCTCGCCAATTGTCAGTCCCTCAATCTTGGCCCTTGTCATCCTCCATAACCACATGAACAAATTCCTCTACTAAATCCCCTCTCCTCTATCTATCTAGCTAGCTAGCTATCCCATTGGTTCTGTCTGTCTGGAGAACTCCGACTAATATACACTAGTTTATAGCCTGTCTAAAAACTTCAGAGAAAAGATGTCTTCAAAATATTCTACTCTGAGTAAGAGACAAAGACTGCTTCATGAAACTATTCAAGAATTCTCTTTCATGGCCAATGTTTAAGAGGCATAAGTTACTAAATGTGCATAGAACCACTTATTTAAAATTAGATAAGCAATATTACATGCAAATGAATCTAAGCAGCTCTAGAGCTAAACAATAAACTAAGGGGAAATTAATACATCATGTTCAAGTTAAAAATATTATTAACAATAATGGAAAAAAATAATAGGTAAATGACACTTATAAAGTGATTTTTCTGGGCCAGGCACTGTTCTAGCTGCTTTACATATATTAACTCACTTAATATTTAATACAACCTTATGTGATGGATATTATTATTATTATTTTATAGATGA